TTCCTTTCCGTCTCGGCGTGTTTTGTTTTTGTTTTTTATTTTTATTTTTCTTTCGTTCGGCAACTCACCGCGGGCGCGCCTACAGCAATGTCCTGTACCGTCCTCTCTTTCTCTTCCAGAGCGTTTTATGAAAAGTAATATACTTTTACACGTAAATATCGGCTAGGGAATTTCTTCGATGTGCAATCGCTTTTCAAACTTTGCCTGCGCATTGTTTCCGACTACATCGTAACAATCGGCGAAAATTCGCAACTACTTCTCGCGAACAAAATATATACGAATTTTCTCTCAATATGCTTTTATCTAATCTTTCACTTGTAGTTAAAATGAGGTGAAAATCGTTATGGCTGAAAAGTTATTTCCTATTCTACAACAAATTTACTTTAATTTTGACTTATCCAACTTATCGAAAACGACGATAAAAAAAGAAGAAGAAAAAATGTAATAATTACATTTAGATATAAGCATTTGATGCAGAATTTGTTTTAGATTCACCTAACTTGCGTCTTGCATTGAATATTTCACCATACCGAGTTACATAAAATTATAATCACAAGTTTTCACAGTGTTGTTTACACGATTCTCTTAGACGTATTAAATTACCAAACAACATTGTACTTTCATATGCTCATTTTATACGTATTATAATTTTTTTTTTTTTTTTTTTTTTTTTTTTTTTTTAATTAATCCATGCAAAATGACGAAGGACTTTATTTCATTTTCATGTATACAATGCCTCCATTATTTTTTTTTTCTTTTACTCTTTATTCCCATACAGGAAAAATGACATTACATTAAAATAGAGAGTGTGTAGGATTGAACATATTGCCTGCCTACCACTTTGACAAGATCAGAAATTCCAATTTAAGATATAATTCTGAGAAAATAAAACATTAATAATATCGAACATTACAGTTTAAATATATCGATTTCGTTTCAGAAATAGAATAATGCCGGATGACTGTCGTTGTAGCTACAAAATATTGCATTGCAACGATAACTTCCAATCCCTTGATAATTGTCAAGTTTCTCACTAACATATTAGTAGCCCAACGTTTCACCAGTCCCTCTGCTCCTTCATTATTCATTTATTTAATTATTATTATTTTATTTAATTGTAAAATATACCATTCGCCCTCATTTTTCAAGCCGCTTACTAAGAAACTCCTCGGCTTCTCTTCTCCACACACTCGACGACGCGTTCCAACGCTCGATTGTACACTTCCTCGGATTACTACTTCGGCTCTCCCACGAGCCTTATGACGTTCCGTATATTTACCCTCTTCCAATTCCAATCCACCTCGACCTTTTTAACACTAGATGAAAATATACCGACTTCGACTTCGTCGCACAATGTTCCTTATATGCATTTTTCCGCTCCGGCTACGAGCAATTTTCGAAATTTTAAAGAAACAGCCGACCGAATGAGAATAATAAGCCCGATTACACGAGAGTTGGAGCTGCAGAGGCAAATCTTAACGCGATTGTCGTTTCATCGTAAATGAAGCAAAGCGCATATCGAATGGCACACGAGGAAACGCGCGCTCTCCGACTTTCAAATGACGAAACAATCGTAGGATGCCTGTGTGTGCGTGCTATATGCGCACCTACTATGCGCACGTATAGCCACGATGTTACGTCCACAAAGTCTCGCAGTTGACTACTGCGCTTGACTGGCGAGCCTTGACTGGTCTTACTAGTAAACGCCGTGAACATAAGCGAATATCG